TGCACAAAATTTCAGCTCAATCGGACGTAATTGTGAAGAGTTATCGTGTACACGGCCGGCCGGCCGGACACACTGACCGATTCTACAGTGTACTCACTTTTTGAGTACACAAAAACATACTCTATTCAATAGTATGTCTTTCAGAATATCTTGTACTATTTAAAATTATTTCTCCTATAATTATACTTCACTTCCGATCGTGTACATCTTATTAGAAGCTTATGATATGACAGTCGTATATTTACAATACTTGTGACGAAGAGAGAGAGTTGAAGAAACATCTTGTATCTTTTATAATACAAAAATAAGTTATTATATTCTAAGATAATCATTTTTTGAAGAATGTTTACCAAAGTAAATTTATTTTTTACCTTAACTGAAAAGATCAAGAAGATTTTTCGAGAAACGTCATCGTCATGCTGGATGAAATACTAACTGAATTCATTTTTAGGAACAACAAATTTATTATAAAGAAATAACCGAAGCATGTGTGGGGTCTGAAGAACAAAAACGTACAGTATGTCTTATTCTTAACCTTATTTTTTTTTCTTGCTATTATGTATTTAATATTTTAGGAAGCTATCGCTAGTCTAACAACAGAAACTGGTCTTCATCAAATTTTACCTCGTCTTGTTTTATTTATTTCCGAAGGTGTTAAAATAAATTTAATGCAATATAATCTAGCTATATTGATTTATTTAATGCGTATGACAAGTGCATTGCTTGAAAACAAATCTTTATATTGTGAAAAATATGTAAGTTGAATAATAAAAATTATCTTTTAATATTAAAAAATTTTTCTTTCTCTAGCTTCATCAATTATTTCCAGCTATAATGTCATGTATTCTAGCAAAACAACATTGTGCTAGACCTGATACAGAAAATCATTGGGCATTACGTGATTATGCTGCATCACGTTGTGCTCAAATGGTCAAGTAAAATCAAATTAAGATTATAGAAATATTATGTTTAACTTATTGTGTTGTTTATTAGAATGTTTTCAGCTAATATTCATGGTTTACGTAATCGTATTGTACGAATTTTTTTAAGTACATTTCGTAGTGAACGTTTACCACTGGTTACACATTATGGAGCACTTGTTGGTTTATGTGAAATGGGTCAAGAAGTAAATATACGATTGTCCTTTACAAAACTAAAATGAATTTGTTTTTTTGTTCTAGACAATTGAAGAATTAGTATTTCCTATAATACGTCCACTTGGTGATCGAGTTATAAAATCACTTGAAAATACTTCATTATCTCCTATTGATAAAATAACAATTGATCGTATTAATGGTGTTATATCTGTAAGAAAAATCAATAAATTACTTATTTTTTTTCTAAATTTCATATTAAATAGAAATATATTCCAATTGCATATCGTACATCACGATCATCACCAGATGATCTTGAACATTTTAAACATGAATTTGGTAGTTTTTATGGACATCGTTTACATACACATGTCATTCAACTTCGTCAACAATCAAGATCAGGATCGTCACAACCTACACACGTAAGTAAATTTTAAAAAAAAATAATCATACTTTATTGACGATTATTTACAATTGAGTAGAAATATATCTATGAGAGGGATAAAAAGATGAGATTGAAATCTAAGATAAGAGTAAGAAAAAAAATTCAATAACCATTGTTGAATGTTAACAAAATATTATTATTCGTCATCAGTAGTCGGAACGGTTTATAATAAGATTGATTGATTAGTCGATCACGCAATACTAATGGATATTAATCATAATCCAAATCCGGGATAGATTTGACATTAGTATAATGATCCAATGACTTGCAGATAAGGTATGACTATACGCTATTTTAAACTTATCCACTTCATTAGATCCTATTATTGTTGATAAAATTCGAACTCATGAAATTTCTGAAGCTTCTTTAGTTATTTATTAACAATAGAGCCCATCGGATTAATCCCAGATCCAACAGATCTCAGTCATCTGAGAAATGTATAGGGTGCGCTAGTTACTGAATAGAAAAAAAAAAAAGATAAAAGTATCTCGTATCAAATTTTGCAGTGGACAGACTCTTATAAATTACTCCTTCTTCAATTATAATTTGTAAATGTTCATCGATTCCACCTCGTATTGTTTGACAAATATTTACCTGCTTCCTCACATAAAGCTATTATTGAATGTCAAACACAATTATCATTGAAAAAGCTTAATCATTAAGGGTATCTCTCTATTTTGGGTCATTTCTGAATGTCGAAGGAGACACAATTGGTCCACACGAAAGTTTATATACAAATGAAGCACGTTAAATAAGAAGACACATCTTCGAGAAGAAAAAGTTTAAACAAGATTTTCGCAGTTATTTTATGAAAACCTGTTTTTCTAGAGAACTATATCAGGCTGAAAGTTTTTATTTCCGAAAGAATTTTAAACTTTTTCAAATATCTGACTTCGTTGCACATGATCCTCCTCATACTGACCGTATTCAAACTATTCGTGATCTTTTTACTTAATTTCATACTTATTACTCATCGAATGAGCGAAGACAAAACTCAAAAAAATTATCAGTTGATAAAATGAAGCGACAATCTCTTCTTTAAGATTCTAACAACATGGACAATACATTCACTTGACAATTAAAGTCCACTCAAAGCAAAATGAAAACTATGTAACATTTTACTGCATATTTTTATTAATNGCTTAATCATTAAGGGTATCCTTCTATTTTGGGTCATTTCTGAATGTCGAAAGAGACATAATTGGTCCACACGAAAGTTTATATACAAATGAAGCACGTTAAATAAGGAGACGCATCTTCGAGGAGAAAAAGTTTAAACAAGATTTTCGCAGTTATTTTAGGAAAACCTGTTTTTCTAGAGAACTATATCCGGCTGAAAGTTTTTATTTACGAAAGAATTTTAAACTTTTTCAAATATCTGACTTCGTTGTACATGATCCTCCTCATACTGAGCGTATTCAAACTATTCGTGATCTTTTTACGGTACGTATTGATTATCATATATATGGTATGATCAAATGAATATGTTTGTAATTATGATGACAAGATTCAGTATTGAAAAATAATTACTCCCAAATGTTTGAAAGAATTAAGTGATTTTTGGAAGAGAATTGTATATTGAATATACTATAAATCTCAAAATGAAGATGTTTTTCATTCTATGAAGAAACAATATTATCTAATGAAAGTTAAACTGTTCATTTGCATATAACTGTTTCAAATTGAATAATCGTCAATTAAATAAGTACTATATTTCTAATTAAAAAGAAAAAAAATACTTCTATGTTTTAAATAGTTTTTATTCTATTTGCGTGACATGGAAGCTATGTTCTCTTTGCTTTTAATAATAACTTATATAGAGATCATTGCGTGCAAACTAAATATATATATTCCTTTGTTCTAAGCAAGAAAGAATATTATCAATTCTTCTAACTGATTAATTCCAGAATATTTTCTAACAATAGAACATACGTGAAAATCCTATGATGAGTGTAAATTAATAAAAATATGCAGTAAAATGTTACATAGTTTTCATTTTGCTTTGAGTGGATTTTAATTGTCAAGTGAACGTATTGTGCATGTTGTTAGAATCTTAAAGTAAGAGATTGTCGCTTCATTTTATCAACTGATAATTTTTTTTTTTAGTTTTGTCTTCGCTCATTCGATGAGTAATAAATATGAAATTAAGTAAAAAAGATCTACGTAATTCATATTCGATGCAACGATTTCTTCTTCCCGAATATAAAAGTTCGTTTTTGAAATCTAAGCAACATTACCAATGACAATAGTAACAGTCGCGCGAAACTTTTTTTCGACATTAAAACTTGTAAAATTATATCTTCAAAGTATCATGCATTCCTTTGACATCGAGAACTTCTGAAAAACGAAAACTAAAATTTCTTGTATGACCGATCCACTATTCTTCTCAAACTTCCCTCGATTCGTCAATGATGAGTTGTCTTCAAATATTAGCCTCACCAGTCATAAAATGACCCGGAACTTTGTCTCCGATCACTTCCGATAATATACTGATTACGTTTGACATATACCTACTCTTATGGTTAGTTAGTGTGCAAGAAATTTATGTCTAGCGTAATAGCTAATGGTAGTTGTAAGAAAGATTTTGACCTATTGAATCTGTCATTAGACAGCATCTCATATCTCAAGGCAAAGATTTTTTTCTACCGTAACAATTGAACTCGGTCTTGTTTTTGTATATATAAGCTAAATATAATGTTACTTTTATTTTTATATAATAGAATCGACAATTTTCTCCATCATCTGCTTCAAATTCTCGTCCATCAAAAATACTATCTGGTCAAGCATCTCCATCATCACATCATCAAAATCCTGGTTCACTGACTCCATCACGATCTCCTGTTCGTCCGATGAATCCATCATCATCAAAACACCATTCTCAATCATCGACTGCTTCATTGACACCAGCAAATAGTCATGAAAATGTTATTTTATAAAAAAAAATATTTAGGATAATATTTGTTTCTTTGTTTATACGAGATATTCTACCGTGTGTTTTTCTTCTTTGCATTTTGCTTCAATATGAAACTATATTTGTAGATATAATCTTATATTAATTCTTTTTGAATTCAAAAAATCTACACAAATGGCTAAACCAGTCGATCCAAATAAAGAAGATAAATATGCAACAGCTATATTAAATCGTAAAGAACGTCCTAATCGTTTAATTATTGATGATGCTATTAATGATGATAATAGTGTTGTTGCATTATCACAACAAAAAATGGATGAATTACAATTATTTCGTGGTGATACGGTTTTACTTAAAGGTAAAAAACGTCGTGAAACAATATGTATTGTTCTTGCTGATGATACATGTCAAAATGATCGTATACGAATGAATCGTGTTGTACGAAATAATTTACGTGTACGTTCAGGTGATATTGTATCAATACAAGGTTGTCAAGATGTTAAATATGGTAAACGTATACATGTTTTACCTATTGATGATACTGTTGAAGGCATAACAGGAAATTTATTTGAAGTTTATTTAAAACCATATTTTGTTGAAGCATATAGACCTGTACGTAAAGGTGATGTTTTTATTGTACGTGCAGCAATGCGTGCTGTAGAATTTAAAGTTATTGAAACTGAACCAAGTCCATATTGTATTGTTGCACCTGATACAGTTATACATTGTGAAGGTGATCCAATAAAACGTGAAGAAGAAGAAGCATCTTTAAATGAAATTGGTTATGATGATATTGGTGGTGTTAGAAAACAATTAGCGCAAATTAAAGAAATGGTTGAATTACCATTAAGACATCCACAATTATTTAAAACTATTGGTGTTAAACCACCACGAGGTATTCTTCTTTATGGACCACCGGGCACAGGTATGATAAATAACAAAATTTTATTTATAGAAATATGTTATATTGTTTTTAGGTAAAACTTTAATTGCACGTGCTGTGGCTAATGAAACAGGTGCATTCTTCTTTTTAATTAATGGACCGGAAATTATGTCAAAATTAGCTGGTGAATCAGAATCAAATTTACGTAAAGCATTTGAAGAAGCTGAAAAGGTAAAACTTTTTTTTTTCCGTCCGATCATCTAACAAAATTGTATATCGAAATGAATAATTCATTCGGAGTAGTCGTACATGATTTTTACAATTACATATCCGTTTAGTAGAGACCTAGTGAAATCGAGAAGCTTCAGAACGAATAGTTTGCAAATAAATTTTATGAATTAATCGAAGACATTTAGAGTATAATTTCCTCAGTAATTATTTCTGTGTTTAAAGTTCTACAAAATTTGATACTTGTTAAGTACATTGTCAGCATTATCGATGATTGAAAGTTGTTGTTATGTATCGAAGTCAACTAAATGTCTTACTAATAAATTATATTTAATAGAAGAGATCTTTTGAATTAAATTGGTATCTCTTTGAGGTCTGTCATCCGTGAGAAGAAGTTCCAGTCAATCTAGACTCCGACTTTCCTTTGCCGATTCAAAATGCTTTGTAAAGTTAACATAAGCTTTCCGACTGCATCAGAACTGAAATAAAAGGTTAACTTTCCAGGTCTCAGTTTTCACTTTGAAAATGCATGATCATGGAGATTCTGAAGTCTCAAGAAATCCATCGGTCAAAATCATGTAGGAAAATATGTTGATTGAACATGTTCCGCAGATTTAAACCCATATGACTTCTTTCTGCTGCTAAAACTGAAATATCAACTATTCAAAACTAGACTCAAGAATAGCTTTATGCAGACATTAACGACTCTCTCAAATTCTACCTCGATTACTTATTTTAATCGAACACATTAGTGCATTATTGATGAGACAACACCTTTTGTAATGTGCCTTTAGAAGTAAAATATTTTTATTAATGAACTATATTTTCTTTAATTATGAATTTATTTTTTTTTAGAATTCTCCAGCTATTATATTTATCGATGAACTTGATGCAATTGCACCAAAACGTGAAAAAACTCATGGTGAAGTTGAACGTCGTATTGTTTCACAATTATTAACATTAATGGATGGTCTTAAACAACGTTCACATGTTATTGTTATGGCTGCAACAAATCGACCTAATTCAATTGATCCAGCATTACGTCGTTTTGGTCGTTTTGATCGTGAAGTTGATATTGGTATACCGGATGCTGTTGGTCGTTTAGAAATTCTTCGTATACATACAAAAAATATGAAATTAGGTGAAGATGTTGATCTTGTACAAATTGGTAATGAAACACATGGTTATGTTGGAGCTGATTTAGCATCATTATGTTCGGAAGCTGCTTTACAACAAATACGTGAAAAAATGGATGTTATTGATTTAGAAGAAGATACAATTGATGCTGAAGTACTTGATTCATTAGCTGTTACACAAGATAATTTTCGTTTTGCACTTAATCAATCAAATCCATCAGCTTTACGTGAAACAGTTGTTGAAGTACCAACAACAACATGGGAAGATATTGGTGGTTTAGAAAATGTTAAACGTGAATTACAAGAACTTGTTCAATATCCTGTTGAACATCCAGAGAAATTTCTTAAATTTGGTATGACACCATCACGTGGTGTACTCTTTTATGGACCACCGGGTTGTGGTAAGTTAATATAATTTATTTTTCGATTTCGATTTTAATATTTTCGTTTTTTTTTAGGTAAAACATTATTAGCAAAAGCTATTGCTAATGAATGTCAAGCAAATTTTATATCAGTTAAAGGTCCAGAATTATTAACTATGTGGTTTGGTGAATCCGAAGCAAATGTACGTGATGTATTTGATAAAGCTCGTCAAGCAGCACCATGTGTATTATTTTTTGATGAATTAGATTCAATTGGTAAGATAAAACGAATCAAATAAATAATAATACGAGAATTTTTTTTCTTTTTCTATAGCTAAAGCACGTGGTGGTAGTGCTGGTGATGGTGGTGGTGCAGCTGATCGTGTTATTAATCAAATTTTAACTGAAATGGATGGTATGGGTGCAAAGAAAAATGTTTTTATTATTGGTGCAACTAATCGACCAGATATTATCGATTCGGCTATTCTTCGACCAGGTAAAAAATCAAATCAAAATGTCAAAAATACATTGATCTTATAGTTTTTATCAGTACTATAATAGCGAAACTATTTTAATTCCTTATTCTCTTTACATCTATTAATATTATAGTAAACAAATTTTCATAAGCGCTGTTTATTCTTTCTTTTTTCTCATCTCTTCAAGTGCCTAATCGTCCCAACATAATAATATATACAAAAAAAACAACACTTGTGTCGGGAGAACAAAAAAGAAATACAGAAACAATTGTATTCGTTGAATCTATTTATCGAACATTTTTTATATTTACTTTCCTATGCAAAGTATTCATGAACTTGTTTATTGCACGACATAATGATTTGGAATTCTATATGACAGCTAGACATTAAAGAAGAGATTAAAATATCTTCAGGACTACTTTTCGTATACTGTAAATATTTCCTCTTAAAAAAGAAATTATATTCGAAAACCTTTCTTACTGAATAAAACATGATTCAATATGTTTTTTGTTTTTGTTTAGGTCGTCTTGATCAATTAATTTATATTCCATTACCAGATGATAAATCACGTATGGCTATTTTAAGAGCGGCTTTAAGAAAATCACCTGTAGCTAAAGATGTTGATATGAATTTATTAGCTAGTGTAACAAAAGGTTTTAGTGGTGCTGATTTAACAGAAATTTGTCAACGAGCTTGTAAATTAGCAATAAGAGAATCAATTGAAAAAGAACTTAATCTTGAAAAAGAACGACAACGTAATGGACAAACAGCTATGGATTCTGATGAACCAGATCCAGTACCAGAAATTCGTCGCGATCATTTTGAAGAAGCCATGAAATTTGCTCGACGATCAGTTAGTGATAATGATATACGTAAATATGAAATGTTTGCTCAAACATTACAACAATCACGTGGTTTTGGTTCACAATTTCGTTTTCCTGATCAACAACAACAACCATCACAAGGTACTGGTGGGAGTGGTGGACAAGGTGGACATCGTCCTACTACTAATGATGATGATGATCTTTATGCATAATTTAGCAATAATTACTTTTAAAGTAATGAACTTTTTTCGCATTTTATAAAAATATATATTTCAGAATACGATGGAAACTATTCGAAAAAAAATTCATAGATATTATAAAACTCTATTGTACTTATATGTTCTTTTGTTTCATCAATATATGTTGTGTATAAACATCAGCTGCTTAGCGGCATCCGTTGATATGTACGTGGAATAAAAAAAACTCTATAGATCATTTCTTTTTTTTTTTTTGTTCCTATTGTTATAGTCGCGGTATTATAATGACATTGTTCAATTTTCTTTGGTTTCTTGTTTCGTTTTTTTCTTCTTTATTGTTATGGTATCTTCTTTAGTTAACTTTAATCTCATCTGATTTCTTTTGAAAACTAAATAACGTTGAAACAAAACAAATGATGAAAAAGACCATCATATGTTTTTAGAGAAAATAAAAATGTTTAAAAACAAAAAACAATGATTTCTGGCATAAAAAGATTTTAAACTGATTAAGATCTCCTCATCCGCAGATGGTAAGCAAATGAACACCCCATGAAAAGGATGGGGGCGTATAAGGGTCATTTTTGGGCCCTCGCTAATTTTGGTTGGTTCATGATCTACTAGATGTAGAATTTCACGAGGAATCGTTTCGTATCAAAATAAAGTTGTTTCAGAAGAGTCTAGATGGAATTTTGTTGAAAATACTAACATATATTTTGTACCATAAATCGATCATTCATACATGGACATGTGATCCATGTAAATTTTCCTATCTTANGGTATATGGCTTCTGTATAGGATTAGATTTTCGAATAATTGAAAATCTATTTCTCATTATTCTGCCTATTCTGCTACAAAGAAAGGCCTCTGTAACAGATTCAAAATAATGAGTTATTTCTAGACATTCTCTGGACGAAGTTCTTGCTTGACGCTAGACACTCAAACGATCAATCGGCTTGTTTCATTTACAACAAAATGTCAGGACACGCGCTTCAAAGCAGTGAAAAAATCCTTATGGTATCTTTTGTTGTTTGAGAGTAATAAAGAATATAAAATAGGGAATTACTTTCCAAGCACCCTGTATTGATTGTCAAAAATAAATGAAACTGTAATACTTTTATGCAAGAAAAACTAAGGACGAAAATGAATTGACCCACACTGTAATTAGCAATAATATTCTGAACAATCATGAAATCCGTACTTAAGTCTAAAACTGGTTTGTCATCCGATGATGTTTTTGCACTAGAAAGTCATCTAAGCGAATGAATGATGCTTTTTCTAAGGATATGCTCAACCTTTCCAAATTCCTCAATTACTTATTGATTGTGTTTATAATTAAATCGCTATGGTATAAATAGAACAAATATTTTCGTTCATTCTCATATATTTTTAACCAAAGAAAATGATGTTGCCGCATAAAGATAGTTTACTGTATTGGAGGATAGTCCTACATGATTTGTTTTGCAATTAAATGGATTTTTTCTAATACAATCTTCAATGCAATCGAAATATAAATACGATATGAATAATCAACTTGCAAAAATTCATGTAAATGATATTCCTTGAAGGATATTATAAATGGATCTTTTGTTTTCGAATTTGGAGAATTATAACACACAAGTGAAAAATTGCGCTTTTCGATGGGACAAATTCAAGTGATTGAAAACACATTTCGTGACCTTCTCAAGCATTTTAGATACATCAATGCGAGATAATTCATGGACAACAACTTGCCATGTCGTCAGATATTCATTGTTCTGATACTGTTTTATTATGCATTCACCTCGAACGATAATTATTTCATAAAAAAAAACAAAGAATAAATAACTTCCATTTTCTGGTCATCATTATCATATCAGCTGCTACTCTTTTACGCATTTATTAATAAAAATCCACACAAAAATAAAATCGAAATACAATACATGATTCCTCGACCAGCATCGATACGTCAAGTAGCTCCTATTATTCTTTTCTGTTTATTTATATCTGTTTTTATTATTTTAATTTCACTTGAATCTTCTCAATATTTTAAATTTTCATTATGTCATTTTCTAAATTTTTCATCTAAACCAAAGACATTTTACAAAATTTTAAATAATACAGAAGATGAAAAAACATCAGTCGATTGTAATTCAATTTGGTGTCTTGATATGGCAAATCGTCTTGATAGTGAACAATATCTACCTGAATCACCTTTTCTTCTAGCTGCACCAATTAATTCAACAAGACTTCATCGTTTACCTTATCGTTATTCTCAATGGAAATCTTCTCCTTCTCTTGCTCGTCTTTTTACTCCATGTGAACACAATTTAGCTATGCGTTTATTAATGATTATTGAACGAATATGTCGAAAAGATAATATAACATTTATGTTAATTTATGGATCATTATTAGGCTCATATAGACATCATGATGTTATTCCATGGGATGATGATATTGATATAATGATACCTATTGAAGAACATACTCATTTTATTGATATAATTAAGCAAATGAATAAAACATTAGTACAACATGATGCATTATCAAATGGAAAAGGAGAACCAAGATATTATAAAATCTTTTTCAAAAATACTTCACCAGCTGGACGTTATTCATGGAATTTTCCATTTATTGATATTTTCTTCTATGCTACAAATGAAACACATTTATGGGAAACGGATTATCCTTCTACTATTACAAAAAAAGAAAATGTTTTTCCATTAGTTATGAGACCATTTGGAGAATTATGGTTACCTACACCACGAAAACCTCAAGAAATTTTTAAGTTCGATCCATTTGATGATTGCAAAGGACATACTTGGAATCATCGAAATGAAATAAGACAAAAAGAAATTTCAGTTAAATGTAATGATCTTAAACATATTTATCCATTTGTTGAACGACAAAATCAATCGGATGCCATTGAAATTTTAAGAACACATGATACTATCATTCATACTGTTTTTTACAACTAATATTTTTTTTGTTTTTGATTCAATTGTCAAGGAAATTTTTAATAAAAATAATATTAATAATTTCATTAAGGGCATGGGTGTGAGTCTTGGATGCCAAGATTCGGATTTCATGTTCCCAGTCGAGAGACAATTTTCAGTTAGCTTTTGACACAGTTGTGTTTGTTCGAAATTATTCAAGTAAAAACCAAAATCTTAAACAAAATACATATATCTATACAGGGTGTGGGTGCGATTGAAGAGATTGTCCAAAAATATGCACACCCACACCTTATAAAGAAGAACTCTCTACTTTATTGGATACATATGAGATTTGTCGAAAATGTCTTAGAAAACCACTCTCGGAGAGAGGTGGCGGAGCCTATGAGGTTTGAGTAGGTTCCACATGACTACATAATATTCGTACACCTACCAAAATCTGAACCCTATCCAAATATTGAGTCGACAAAATTGTTAAATCAATCCCATTAGCTACGTCGCCTCTGCTCTAGGATGTTCGTCGAAATTCTTGTGAATCAGTAGAAATCAACAAAATCCTATCAAACTCATGTTATTCATCCTTGAAAACTAACTTTTAGGTTTTTTATCAACAAAAATCTATCGATGATGTTCAAAAACGCAATTAACTCAACGTTTGATTTATAATCAAATTCAATATATTAACATTTTATATATTGTTTCTTATGAGCATACATGTATGACAATTGAAGATATTAATGCAATATGAAAATGTTCTTTACAAAATAACATAGTTCTGTAATCATATGATATTCAAGTGATCAACTAACACGAAGAAAATCAAACAAATGGAAAGAAATATGTCAACATCTAATCTTAGAAAAACATAAAACAGCACAAGCAATTTCTTTCATGTATGTTGACTTTAGTTCGTGTAGTGAGAATTTAGAAGACTTCAACATTGTACATCTACCTATTAAATCAACATCAAAATCTTGGGGTAATCATCTCAAGAGTAAGAGATTCTGAATGAATGATTTTGCCAGTTTTTCTATCTACACTAAATTGTATGATAACTAAATAAACCATTGTATGTTATAATGGAGCGACTATTCCCATCAACATCCTCACCAAAACTACAAAGATTCTTAGTATCTTCACTTCCATCGAAAAGAAAATTATTATCAGTAAGGGTGTGGGTGTGGGTGGAAAGTGTATCTGAACCCATAACACAAATACACAGTCACAAACACACCTATATCCCGCCTATAAAGAACAAATACTAAAGAATAGTGACTAACACATATCAGTTATTCATATCAGAAGATAGACTATGAAGGGTTGCAAATGTTATGAAATATAATTTAAGTATTATTGGTATCTTACTTAAACAACTTTTCGAGTCAGTCTATTGTAGGTTGATCTAATAATTTTTGTTGAGAAAACCCCTTTTTTTGGGTTAATTTATATCAAGTGGTAATTAGTAAGCATAATTTATAGAGGTCTCAATGACAGTGAAAATGACTTCTATCACTCTTTTAAATAAGCATCATAAACATGTAAATTCTTTTCTATTTCAAAAAAAAACACAATAAAATTCAAACAAATTTTCTTATCATTAGATTATTCTATTGATGTACTTGAATCATTTGACTCCATGATGGTGGATTAAACACGAGCTCTATATAGTAGAAAATCCATAAGATATTGTTGTTCAGGAGAAGTATAATGAAATGATATAGTTTGATCACTACAACAATTGTAGTGCTAAAACAAAACAGATACGTCGATAGTTAAAAAAAGGAATTTATTTTCAACGACTTACAGATCGTAATGGGTGTTCAGCACGTTTTAGAAGCCAATCAGGGAAGAAACCCTGAAAATGATCAGCAAATGAAAGTGGGTGAAATAGTTCACGATTTTCTTTATCCAGTGCCTTGCCTGGATAAACACCTTTTGTACGAAGACATCTTGCTATTTCAATATCTTCAGCACCACCATCTTTAGCACAATTTGATGCTGGATCGTTATATGCTTCATAAAATCGTCGTAATGATTCTCGACTTAATACGTAAGATGCTCCACCTGAATGGTACCCCTTAGGAATGTGGATCTGAACATAAAAATAAAGAATTTTAACCTAAAGACTCATTTATGAATTAAAATCATAATTATTCAACTTCAAAAAAGACTTCATTACAAAATTATGACTAAGTTCTTGTCTTATTAATACGCTATAGTTATTAGAAAAGAACGAATAAGCATACTTTAACAGACGGAGAAAAACATTTTAAATCCATCTGCTAATAGGTACTAACAGCATTCTCGTTGCTTTTTGTTTTGAGATAAGTCGATTTTCAGAGTAGTGATGATCTTAAAGAAAAAAATAGTGAAATACACGGATCATAAAAGAAGAGGTTCTTTTCTTTTCTTTTCTTTTTCTATCTTTCGAAAGCCATATCAGAGTGAATTCACTGTACTATAATGTACTAGTTTATCAGTGTTTTATCTAGTATGAAAGTCAAGTGGTGGAAGGAAGGACTCTTTTCCGAAGATCAGGCTGACCATCATATAGCCTGTGCTTTTTCCAGCATGTACCATGTGTCTCACTTTCGAATGTTAGATGTGTGCCACACCGAAGTTTTAAATCTCCTATCCAAAAGAAAAACATCTGAATAAAACAGTGTATTGCATCTACAACGTATTTGCAATACTATTGATGTGATCATTTTGTGGAAGATCTAGTAGTTTACTGTATTATTTCATCAGTATACAATCGATGAAGACGGTTCCAGCTTTTGCCTTTCTAAGTTGGATAAGCAGAGCCCGTTTGTATGTGCGTTAAATAAATGTTTGCATTTATTTAAGTTATTAAGGGAACAAAATGAAGAGATTTAATCTATCGACTAGTACAATAGATGATAACTCATATATAATTACCTGATAGGTATATCCAAATGTAATAGGTTCTGATGGACTTTGTTTACTTAAAAATGTTTTCAAATGTTCCACAATCAAATATGTATCATCATCTGCTTTGATAAACCATTCAAAATCATTCAAATAATTTTCATATGCAAATAAAAAGGCTAAATTTGATTTTTGTGTCAGATGATCATAACCACCTGTAATGTTTTTAATAGGTGCAATGGGTATTTGTTTTGCAAATTTAATTTGTTCAGGTGTCATTGCTTCTCGAGCATATTCTGTTATGAAAAAATAACGATCACATCGCGATGCCCAAGTTTCATTTACAGCCTTCACACGTGTAAGAAAATATTTTGGTGCTGTTAGTATTAAACAGCATACACGGGGCAATTTAGTCTTATTATGATGTATATCGCGATTCAAATGAAGACAAACAAAATCAGTATCATAGTTTTTCACAAAATAAGCAAAATGAAAGATCATAGTGAATATGATCATAGCTAATACAATACCAATCGAAATGAGACATCGCCTATTAATTAAATGCAACATTTTATAAATGACTTTTGTGTTTTAAATGGAAGCTATAAAGAAAAAAGATAAAGTTAGTACAAGCGGTTTACAATCGATTCGGTCCTATTTGATGATTTATTATTTCGGTTCGTTCCCATTTCATTTTCTCAATTGGATTCTTTTTTCGTTTGTTCACGACTCATCTAGTCATACAATGGGCTATTTAATTTCAATCTGAATTTAAACAGAAAAAAGAGCACTTGATTTCAAATTGAAATAGGGGACTAAGGGGACTAACTAAGGGCCTAAGGGGACTAA